AATTCAGAAAGAATGTTCCTTTTTTTTCTCCCTCCATTGTGGAATCATAATAGATTTAAGTCTGCCTAGGAAAAAACAAAAACAGTTCAATAGTGCACAGTCTGTGCAATGAACATAAATAAACATTCCTTATATCAGGAACTGCAAGAGTACAGTCACAGAAATGGACCGGAATGTTCTATAGCCCACTCACTGCCAGAGGCATTCATGGGAGGGAGTATATGAAACTGATATTATCTTGACCCTCACTTTATCCCCCCTTCTCTTAGCACCTTCTTTGGGATTTGTCACAGACATTGTTGGCAGTCCTTAGACTGAGAGAGTAATTGTCCACCTGGCAATTTAAAAGGGCAGTTCCCCTTAGGGCTAAAGTTACCTAAGGACAGTGGCATGTTAAAGAGATTAAATACTAAACTGATTGATACATAATTATAAAAAGGAGATATTTTTCAAACATGTTTTTAACTGCTGAAGCCAAGATTTGAGGGCTATCGGTGGTCTTTTTTTATATGATTTTATGAAAAAGTGAGTTTTTAATGATTTTTTGAAGGAGTGGAGACTAGGTTAGCATCTAAAGGAAAAGGGAAGGGAGTTCCACAGAAGAGGTGCAGCCCTAGAAACGTCTTGAAGGTGAGCATCAGAGGTGGGAGTATAGACAGAGGATAGATGCAGGTCTTCCTATCAGTTTGTCGAGCAGTTCCAATCATCCTAAGTGATGATTGGACTTGCTCCATGGGTACATTAAAAGATCATGCACAGGTGACGTGGTAACATTATACTGAAACCAGAGTTATCATAATACCATATATAAAAAATAATCTGGAAATAAAGTTATTGGAATAGATTTATATGCCTTTGAAAATGGAGCCTTTTGAATTTTGTTTGGGCCGCATTGATAGGCTGAGAGTGCTTGGATAACCTATCCCCAGCAGTCTAGCAGAGTTATTCATACCTCCCAACCATCCTGATTTTGAAGGGACAGTCCTGATTTTCTTTTCTTTTTTTTTCTTTTTTTTTTACAATCTCGTTTTTATTAGAATTTAAGGTTTTTGGTACAGAACATAACATAGCACAAAAAGAATACCCCTGGAAATCAGTGACAAGCAGGTGGCGCACCGCAGTTGCACCAACCCCAGTGATCTAAAGCCCCCACCCTACCCTACTCTGCTGTCGCAGCCTATCCTCCGTCTCACCTCCCTCCACCCACACTCCTCCCCCCCTTGCTGGCTTCAGGTTCACAGTGTGTATTGCCAGGTCAACAATATGAGGATTTGCACGAGTGCTACCTAACTTCGTGTATGGGTCAAGATTGCTCGTGTCTCTGAAACCCTAAAACATCTCCACCCAGGCCCTGCTCATCAGGACCCGTGGCGTGTGCCTTTGCTGGCGAAGGGTTAGAACAGACTCTACGCCAAGTGGCCCCACTGCCACGGTAGGTGAGTAAAGAGCTGGCATCTCGCATTGATGACTGCCCCTTCCCCTCCCTCGTGTGTGCTCGTGGCTTCAGAAGGTAGTTCGTATCAACTAAGGCTTGTGCACCCCCCTCTCCTCCCCCCAAGCTCCTCCCCGCCGTCGTGTCTCTCCCAGTCTTCATCTGTGTAGTCGCTCCCTATCCCCATGCCCCTGTGCCCCAAAACCGCCCTGCCCTGCGTCCTGGTGCGTGTGGTTTGGACCTCTCCTGCTCCCCCTATCTCCCCGCACCCCCCTCCCCTTCTCCCCCCTGGGATAAATTTCTCTCGGCCCCTCCAGTTTAGCAAGAGTTAGCTGTCCACCCGCCTATGGCTAACTGTGTGTCCGTGCAGGCATAAGCCTGGTGTACCCTAGCTCTCGCCACCCCTATCTTAAGACTCACTGCATACCCCCCGAAACCATCCGTCCATCCCAAGGAATGACGTTTAATTCCCATCCCGTGGTAGAGAGGAGATGGAACCGGAACCAGAGGAAGAAGCAGCCAATTCCCGTAGGTCGTCGACTCCTCCAGAAGCCAACGATGTCGGCCGCACCGCGACAGCTCCGTTCCCCCCTCCCTCCTGCACGCCACTCCGCCTCGCCCTCTTAGTCATGTATTCCATCCACGGAAACCAGGTCGTGGCGCATTTTTCAGAGTGCCCCTGCAGGGAGGCCGTCAACATCTCCAGGTTATAGATATTTTCCACCCTGTCGACCCATTGTTGGAAGGTAGGCACTGCACGGCTTTTCCAATATATCGGTATTAAGGTTTTCATGCAGTGAGCATGTGTATGGTCAAGCCCCTTTTGTAGCTCTGTAGAAGAGTTTATGTTTGATTAAGCAACATCGGCAGTGGTTCCAGCGGGAGGTCTGCGTCTACGATGTCCCTGATCGTTTGGTGAATCTGCCGCCAGAATGGCTCTATTAGCGGGCATGACCACCAGACATGAAGCCTCATGCCCGGTTCCTTGCCACACCTCCAGCACTACCCTGATATTGACTCATGGACATGGCGCAAGAGATCAGGGGTCCTGTGCCAGCCGGTCAAAATTTTATAATTACATTCCTGATACTTGGAGCATATGCTCCCTTTGTGTGTCAGTTGAAAGATCTTGTCCCATTCGCTAGCCGTGAGTGTCTTGCCCGTCTCCTGCTCCCAGCGTTCAGTGAATTCCAAGGGGGTCTTGCCCTCCTGTTGCTGGAGCATGGCGTATAGCATGGACACCCCATGCTTGAGGTGCTGTCTGTCCGCGCATGCCTGTTCCAGGGGTAGCAGCGGTCGGTGGATGTGGCCTTTCCCCAGTATAGAGGTGTAGTACCTGCGCAGTTGGTGATAGCGGAATTCATCCAGTCTCGTCGGGGTGTGTTCTGGCATCAGATCCTTTAGTGATTTAAGTGTTGCATCTGTGCACCAGTACCGCATGTAGGACCAGTCCGACACCGCGAAGTTCGTTAAATCCGCTGAATTAAGTCCTCCCGCCAGTCGTGGGTTATTAGTTATAGGGATAAGCGGATTTGGTGCCGTGGTGAGTTGTTTGGCGTATCTGATCCTACACAATACTAGCAGAGAGGAGTCAATCATCGGGTTTCCCGTGTGGATGTCTCCCAAGACAGTGCCATCCAGCCATATCAGGGAGGGGATCCGTCCCTGCGCTTGCTGCTTCTCCATGTCCAGGGGCGGACTGACCGGTCGGGCACTTCGGACATGGTCCGAGGGCCCGGCCGGGAGGGGGGCCCGCCGCCAGGGCCGCCTTCAGGGGGCCCGGCGGCAGGGCTGGATTGGGGGCGGCATCTGGGGACTTCAGCGGAAGATGCCACCGGGTGGCCGGTCCGGTGGCACACTGTGAGGGGGACGGCCGCGTTTCTTGCTGGAGCCGCCGGACCGGGTGGCAGCCTCACTGGTCCGGCGGCATTCCTCTCACTAACACTGAAGGAGGAGGAGCATGTCTCTCTGTCATGCTCCTTTGCGGTTCCCACATCCTGTGCTGGGAATTGTGGGAACCGCAGGGAGCATGACAGAGAGATATGCTCCTCCTCCTTCAGCGTTAGTGAGAGGAATACCGCCGGACCAGCTACCACCCCGACTCTTTATCAGACGAGAGAGGGTGAATAGAGATGGGGGATAGAGATGGGGGAGGGGAGAAAGATGGGGCAATAGAGATGGGAGGGGGAGAAGGGGGGCAATGAGAGATGGGGAGGGGGAGAAAGAAGGGGGAACAGAGAGATGTGATACACACAGACCCCCATACACAGCCCCCCATGCTAACATTGCCACACACATACACAGCCCCCTCATACACACATTGCCCCACACATTCACACACTACACCCCCACACACACACTGAACCTTTCACACACATTGCACCACTGCTCCTATTCCCTACTACAGCCCCATATCCCAGCAGACCCCAGGTAAGTTGTCAAACTGTTCTTAAATGGTTTGACTACTTACTCTGGAGCAGTAGTGGTTATTGTGCATGGATTATTTCTTTAAATAATCTACAAGTGCCCCAGTAGCCAGCCAGCACACAGGCCGGCCAGCCAGCCAACCCACAGGCTGGCCAGTAGCCAGCCAGTAGCCAGCCCATAGGCCTACAGCAAGCCACAGGCTTACAACCAGCAAGTTCACAGCCTGACAGTCGCAGCCAGCAAGCCACAGCCTGCCAGCCGCAGGCAGCAAGCCGCAGCCTGCCAGCCGCAGTCAGCAAGCCCACAGCCTGCCAACCGCAGCCAGTAAGCCCACAGACTGCCAGCCAGCAACAGTAATTAAGGTAAGAGGAGCCAACTTGGCCTAGGTATCAGCGAGCTATGTTGTGTTGCTATATTGTGAATAGGAACCAGAGTGTTGGAGAGACCACCCTCCAGGCCCCATTAGACTCCATTGTAGTCTCTAATGGGGCCTGGAAGAGATTCTTTCTAACACACTCTCTAAAGGACACTGAGATAGCCTCTGCTAGAAATCCCCTCCATGGCCCATTAGCCCTCAATTGTAGTCTCTACTGGGGCCTGGAGGCGATTGTTTCCAGCAGGGGCTATCTAATGGATGCTGAGATGGCCTCTGTTAGAAAGACCCCCTTCCAAGCCTATTAGACTCCATTGTAGTCTCTAATGGGGCTTGGAGGGGATTCTTTATAACACACTCTCTAAAGGACACTGAGATAGCCTCTGCTAGAATGACCCCCCTTCCATGGCCCATTAGCCCTCAATTGTAGCCTCTACTGGGGCCTCGAAGGGCTTATTGCACTTTTGTTCCTTGTGTCTAAAGATTGTGTAGGGTGTGGCTGGAGGCGGTGCATGGAGGCAGGACAAGGGTGGTGCTTGCTGCAGAGTATGGGTGGGGCCTGTAAGGGGCCCTTGATTTATTTTGCCCGGGGGCCCTGAGGGTTCTCAGTCCGCCCCTGTCCATGTCCACCCACTGCTTGGTGGTTGGCTTTGCATGCCAATCCACCACTCGGCAGAGGTGAGTCGCCTGATAGTAGGAAAGCACCGACGGACATCCTGCTCCTCCCATGTGTTTCGGACGCTCCAGGATCGTCCTGCGAATACGTGCCGGTCCCCTGTTCCATACAAATTTCCGTATGGTGGTTGTTACGGATTGAAAAAATAACCGCGGGATATTCGTAGGCAACGTCTGGAACAGGTATAAGATTCTTGGCATAACGTTCATCTTTATGGCGTTCATCTGCCCAAACCATGAGATGTACTGAGAGGACCACTTTTTCAGGTCCCCCTGAAGGGCCACGAGGAGGGGTGTAAAATTAAGAGGATATATATCCGTGAGCTCGTGTGGCAGCCATGTTCCCAAATACCTAAGCTTTGTCTGACATACCCTGAATGGGAAGTGCCTACGCAGATGCTCCGACATGGTGTCCCCCGAGGCTAGCGGCATGGGCTCTGACTTGTCCAGATTGAGTGCAAGATTTGAGACTACGGCATAGTCCCCGAACGCTTTCAACAAGTTTGGTATTGACACCTGTGGTTGCTCCAGAAAAAAAGAGCATATGTCCGCATAGGCCGCAACTCTATGCTCTCCCTAACCTATGCGTATCCCCGTGATACCCCCGTCCCGTCTGACCGCCTCCAGAAATGGTTCCAGAGTGAGGGCAAACAGAAGGGGGGATAATGGACAGGCTTGCCTCGTGCCATTGCGGATTGCGAACGGTTCAGTGAGTGCACAGTTGACTGATTCGCGCTGTCGGCGCCGTGTACAGAGCCGCCACCCAAGTGCGGAGGTGTTGCCCGAACCCCATGTGCCGCATCGTATCCAAAAGAAACGTCCAATCCACGCGGTCAAATGCCTTCTCAGCGTCTGTAGACAAGAGCACCAGCTCCCGCCTATTGGCCTTCGCCACGTGGATCACATTTAGGGCTCATGTCGTACTATCCCGGGCCTCCCGTCCCGGGATAATTCCGACCTGGTCGGGGTGTACGAGATCGGGCGCCACCCGGGTTACCCGTAGTGCTAGGGCCTTGGCGAATACCTTCAGATCCGCGTTCAATAGTGAAATAGGCCTGTAAATTGTGGGATCTTTGCCCTCTTTCGGGATGAGTGCAACAGTAGCCCTCAGGGTGTCTGCCGTGAACCGGCCTCCCGTGCACAGCGAGTTGCACCCCTCTAGAAGCCTTGGCAGAAGAACCTCCTTGAACTTGCGGAGGTACCTCACCGGAAGGCCATCCGGGCCCGGAGCCCTGTTGGATTTCGCAGTTTTTAGCGCTCCCGCGAGCTCCTCCAGTGTCAGGAGTTGGTCCAGCTCGTCCTCCTGCTCTTGAGTCAGTTTGCGGGCAACTTGTCTGTCCAGGTAAGCAGCGACCCGTTCCCGATGGTGCCTTCTCTGGGATTCAGATCGGGTTCCAGCTTGATCGTACAGGGTCTCATAGTATTTATGAAACGCGCCCAAGATACTATCTGGGAGGTGAGTGACTGTTTGCCCCTGCGAGCGAATCTTGTGTATATGTTGCACCCTATGCCTCTCCTGTAGCATTTTCGCGAGTAGTTTACCGCATTTGTTGGAATGCTCGTAGAAGAACCTAGCGGTTTTACGTGCAGTGTGGAGCAGGCCCTGGGCTAGTATAGCGCGAAGTTCCCTACGCGTCTCCGTCAGGAGGCAGTAGGTCTCGTCGTCCAGCGTGTGTTTGTGGACTTGTTCCAGTTCCGCCACCCAATTGGATAGCCAAACCAAGCGTGCCGTGCGCTCCTTTTTGCGTTGAGTGCTCACAGCTATGAGACATCCCCGGATAACACACTTATGTGCCTTCCATAGCGTCAGCGGTGCCATCTCCGATGAGCTATTGGTGGCGAAGTATTCCGTGAAAGCCTGGGACATCTCGGCAACCAGGGCGGTGTCATCCAGGAGGGTCTTCTTCAACCTCCATTGCCTTTCCGTAGGTTTGAATAGGGGGGCGCTCGTGTGCACAATCACTAGGGCGTGATCAGACTGCTCCATGCTCCCTATCTCTGAGCCCCGCAACACCGCCAGATATTCTTGTGCGAGAAATATATAGTCTATTCAGCTATAGTGAGCATGGACGGTCGAGTAATAAGTGTAATCCCTGTCGTCAGGATGACTCGCCCTCCAGCAGTCCACCAGGCCCAGTTTGTGCAGTGAGCGCAGCATTGCCCGGAGGCAATGTGTGGGGTTCGTACTGACCCGCCTGGACGAGTCCAAGCGAGGGTCCAGCGGAAGATTTAGGTCTCCCGCCACCACCAGCAATCCCTCCCGAAATCTCTCCAATTTGGCGAGGGTCCAACCGATGAAAGTATGTTGCCATCTGTTGGGGCCATATAAGCAGGCGAAGGTGTATGTGAAATCCGCAATGGACCTTTTAAGGAATAAGTATCGCCCTTGGGGGTCTGCTTGCATCGCCGTGCATTGAAACTGTGTCGTACTTGCGAACAATATCGCCACCCCTGCTTTTTTGGCCTCAGGGTGGTTGGCATAGTACCTGGATGGGTATCGTTGGTTTCCCAGCTTCGGGGCAGCCCCTTGACATAAATGCGTCTCCTGCAGGAACACCACGGACGCTCTCGTGGCCCAGAGCCGCCGCATGAGCCACGCTCGTTTTTCCTGGATGTTGAGGCCTCTGACATTCAGGGACCAATACGTCAGCTGGGCTGGGGTAAATCCCGAGCCGGCCCTTCGCGCCCCAGAGGGGATCTTGGCCCGCCACGGTGCTAGCGCGACCCACGAGGAAGAGACCGAGAGAAAAGAGAAAGGAAGAATCAAGGAGAAAAGAGAGAAAAAAAAAAGAAAAATCCCCAACTGAGTAGTGGTGTGACTGTGACCCTATACCGGTGTCTGTCGGTCAGGTGTGGAGCACCCCGTCCGTCCCTGAGCGCCCCGGTACTATGTACAATATAGGTCCGTCACAGTGGGGATCTGTAGTGCCTCCGTGTGTGTGGAACTGTCTCAACTGTCTATGTCGTGTCCGCCCCCATCTCCTACGGCAACCAACCTGCCGGGTGTGCTATACTCCCGCGTCTGTTCCGGGGGCGACCTGCCATCGTGTCGGCCGCAGCCCAGCTCTCTAAAAAACCCCAGGGTCATCCCTGATCAGCACAGTGCAGTCCGGCTACTGACTGCCAGTATCTCCCTCACCCATCCAACCGTCACCCGACACCCTGCTCCCAACCCTCCCCACCCCGTTCCCCACTGGCCTCCGCGACCAACTATACCTTACCCTCCCACCCCCAAGATGCCTCCATAGCCCCAGGACCTCCTGCTCCTGCCTTAACTGTGGTGCGGGTGAGCCGAAAATGCAGGCGCCCTGCCCCCTCCGCCTTCTCATTGCCCTGATCTGGGGGTCATGTGGCTCCCGTACCCTCCCTGCCAGATGGCGCCTATGTGGGGCTATTTTGGGGGTCGGGGGGCCGTCATGACGGCCGGGGTCCCGACATAACCCATAGGGCGCTCCCTCAAGCTCTTCTCCAAGCGCGCCTCTCCCAGCCCAGTCGCTGCGGGCCAGGGTGCGGACCGCTCGCGGAACCCAGGCTTTCAAGCTCATGTCCAGCAGCCTCTCCCCAGCACCCATCGGGCTTCAGCGCTCAGTCCATGACCCGATCTTCCCACCCCACCTCTCTACACCCCACTGCAAGACCACCTCTTGTGAGCCTCCTCACCACCAATGGGCCTACACTAATCCCCCCAATCCCCCCACCCAAGCTACTGAGTCCCCGAGGGTACCTGGGTACTGAACAGCCCTCTACCATGCCGGGTTCCAAAGCAGCGCTGCGTGGGGTAGGTCCTGAAGAGCATGAACACCTCCCGGTCGGGCAAGATCTCCGCTGGTTACTCCTCCGGTCCTGCAGGGCCCCCCCTGCGGCGTTGCAGGCCGGGTGTCGAATGAAGATTATACGCCACTTCCGTCGGTCCCGTTGCCTTCGCCGAGGGTCCCTCAAGTATCCAATTTGGGATCTGCACCTCCGGCAACCCAGCAGTCCTAAGAAAACGTGGCACGTCATTCGCCCATCTTATGTAGTGCCACGTGTTGCTGATCCGTGCCTGAAGACTGAAAGGAAACCCCCAACGATAAGGGATCCGCCACTCCTGCAGCAGACGGGTAAGCGGCCTCAGGGCTCGCCGGGTGTCCAGGGTAATTGATGAGAGGTCCTGATAGAGAGAGACCTTTGCGTCCATGTACATGATCCGCGGCTGCATAATGGCCTCCTTGAGCTGAAATGAGGCCAGGGCACAGACCACGTCTCTGGGCAGTCCGTCCCTCCTGGGTGCTCGCAATGCCCTGTGGGCTCTTTCTATGCCAAAATCGGGAGGGGAACTATCCCCCAACAGCTGGGCGAAGAGGCCTATTAGCAGCTCCTGGGGCACCTCTCCCTCCACCTCCGGCAGGCCCCGAACCCTAATATTGTTCCGCCGGCCCCGGTTGTCTAAGTCCTCAATTTGCCGGCGGAGGTCCAAAAGGATGTTCCCCTGCCTCGTGGTGGCGAGGTCCGCAGCCTGTTGATGCTGATCAGCTTGCAGGCGGTCTGCTTCAAGTCCATCCACACGCTGCTCCAGGGCATTAAGGTCTGTCCGCAGCACTGCCACCTCTTCCTTGATAATGGCGCGCAGCTCGGACACCATTTCTGCCTTGCCCCCGCGCGTGAGCATAGTGGCGGAGATCTGAGCTATGTCCGCCCTAGCTGGGTCAGGGTTCCTGCCGCTGGGGAGCCCCCGCCCGACGTCACCGCACTCGAACTGGGTGAGACAGGGCCCGGGGTTTTCATCTCCTCACTGTCGTGGAGGCCTTGTGGCTTCGCCAGAAACCCATCCATCGGGCCGGGAGGATATCGGGTCGAAATCGGGCCTGGATGACCCTGGGACGCTATTCTCTTGGTTTTCCGCATGCTTGTAGTGAAAGCCGCTGAGTTTTTCGCTTCTGACAAGGGCTGAGCAGGTTGGGGCCTAGGAGCCCAGGCGAAGTGCGACCTACTCCATTAACGTTCAGGCCACGCCCCCCAGTCCTGATTTTCTTTCCCACTTTTGGGGATATTAGTGAAGTGTACCCAAGAATCCTAGGACAAGCGCATCATTAAGCATGCTCGCCATACATTCAGTGCGCTGGACCCTGCACTGAGCACTGGAGGTATAGCTAGTGACGTGATCGCATCACTCCCATGCCGCCTTTTCCTCCCTCCCACTGGCGTCCCGATTCTCATGATGCCGGAGCTGGAAGGTATGGAGTTATTCAATCCCAATTTTCACTAATTAAATCTGAATGGAAAAACTGAGGCGAACATTTTTGGAGATAATGACATTGAGAATGTTTCCAGGTCAACTATTTTAACCTCCGTTTTTCCATATGGGTTTAATTTGGGAACATTTGAATTCTAGTGAATAGCCCTGTTGGCCAATCACTCTTTTCTAGACTGGACAAAATTTACACTAATAATGTATAATGAGTGTTAATTCCACACTATCAATTTGACAGTGGAGGGGGAGTTTCCGGTTACCAGCAAGAAAACTACTATTTCCCAGATGGCTTCTAAAAAATTAGATAAAAAAACATATTTTTAACATGTTTATTTTTTCTATAATTCTGTAATCAATATATAACAGCTGTCTAATCTTTGACAACAGTAAAGCTATTTTTTTCAACTTATTGAGTGTTAAAGGGTTGCTCACTAATCATTCTTGCTTCTTTAGAAAGAAACAAACTATACAAGATCACGCACATATTCTTATTCTCTGCAAAAATCAAGGTCACAACACAAACTAAACAGAGCGGAGAAACATATAGTTCCGAAAGAACCAACGCAGGAAATCAAAACTCCCACTTCACTAACTCACAATACGCTCCATTAAAAAAAATGTTTGTCGCTCGCAGGCCTTGGATCACTGGGTACCATACAGTATACTTGGCACAGACTCAAACTGGAAGAATGACTATGCAAAACAGAGCACAAAGCAGCTGACACGGAGTGGGGGTGAGTCTGAATTCCTTATTCTACAACAAAGAGCAAGTCACCGGATGTCACTTTGTGAATATTAAATGATTTATGTATTATTAATTTCCTGAAGGTTTGTGATGTGCTGATGCTGTTCAGTTGGCTGAAAAGATGCTCTAGGTACATCAGTTAGAAGGTTCTGTCTGTTAAATGGTTAAATAGAATTTAACTATCTTTGTCCTGTGTCTTTGTTTAAAGAGATACTGTCACTCCTGCTAGAAGATTCCATTAGTTCTTCTGAGCTAAGCCCTGCTGTTGGAGGCCAGCTTATTGCCTGAGAGCATCAACGATGAGCTATGATCTGCACTCAAAGGCTCAGCTCAGGTAGAGAGCACCCGGCTCTTATTAAGGCAGGGAGCATTGCCTGGTGGACCCAGGTAAGTAGGAAGACAACATGGATGTAGGAAGCAGAACATATAGGAATGACAAATTCCACCTAGAAAACCTACTGGGGGGCCTGAGATGGGCAAGATCTCCCCAAATATGATGGTGTGGCTTTTAAAATCATGTTTGACTGTAAAGGAAAACATTTTTAAAATGTTGGTAATCATCTCCACACTTCCTAAGGCTGGCAAATGTGTATCATGGACAGCTATCTGCTTGCTAACACTGCCCTAGAAAACTTGTCCAAAAAAGATGAATTATTCAAAGCATCCCATACTTCCATAACATGGATATTTTAAAGAAACAAATAAAAAGCCAATGGAGATAATGTACTTTGTATGGTTTCCAAGTAAAAGGAAAACTGTAGCATTTATAATTAAAACATGTTCTAGCATTCTCCCCTCACCATCTAGATTCAGTGCCCCCCGCACTTACATTTCTTTTTAAATGGTTCTAATTATCCTTTTTCTAGCTTTTTTGCTAACTCTATCCAGCTGCCCACTTGATCTCTGTTGACATCTAGACGCTGCCTCATCTTCGTCTTCTCATCCAATCCAATGCTTCTCATTAGATGTTACATAAATGAATCCAACTCCGTTGTAGCCATGGAAGCACCATCCAGTGGCTGTCAATAAGACATGCAATGCAAACACTGCATGGTCCTTTTTTTTTTGTTAGAGGAGATTTTTAATATATGTTCACCCTGAAAAGTGCAGAATAAACTGAATTCACAAGCTCCCAACGTGACATTTATCACCTAATCACAGCAGATCTGTTTGGATTGTAGCCATGATTAGTTTTAGGTTCTGCCTGACAGAATGAAACATTCATGAGCTAAAAAAAGGGAAACTGGCAAATCCATATCCCTTGATAAGACTTTGCATGGATTGGTGTCATGTACTTATAACGCAGGGTCTACCTGTGATGGAATGAAAGTGCTTTGCTTCCTGAACTGTCATCAAACCACTGGACAGCAGACAGGGTGTAGGCATCAAGGGCTTTTGCATGATCCTTTGTTACATGAAAACCCGCCACAAGGTTATCGACAGTGTGAATCACATGGAACTCAAGTGAAATTTATATTTAAGTCTAAAATAGCCAACTGAAAATAGAATTGACTTGGAAATCTTATCTAATTTGCCCATTTGGGTCTAAATTTTGAATTGCCTGCGATTGTCAATTTAGTGCATATCCCATTGTAAAGCGCTACGGAATTTGCTGGCGCTATATAAATAATAAAATAATATTAACACTTTCAGTTTAAGTTGCGTAATATTGATGATAGATCGGCACCCTAAAGAGGCAACTTATATGTAGGACCCATCATGTCCTTCTCTGTGCTACAATGTGCCTAACATTGACATACCTCTCAACATTTCAAATGGACAAAGAGGGGTGTGAGTGGGGAAGTGGACAGGTGCGAGGCTGCTAAGAAATTTTAGGTGACTTACTGATAAAAATGTATGCAATTAGGGGGACGGGGCCTGACCGCTGTGCTGAGCCGACGCAGGCAGTAACAGCTCCTGTGACAAACGACAATTTAAGCTGCATTTACCCGCATAGACGCCGGACCAGGCATTCACGGGCTGGCATTTGGCAGGGGAACCTAAGACCTCCACAATGATACATCATAAGTGGATGCCCCATTCAGATCCGCTCGGCACCAACATGCGGCCTACACACACGGGCAGCTTGGGGCCAGACTCGGCTGACCTTCCTAAGAGCCCACATTTCCCCCTATGGACCGGCGGGGGTTATCCCAGTCTATACCAAACTGGCTTATAAGCTGCCACAAGCTTCTGCGGCCTCCCGCAGCCCACACCTTGCTTGCAAGATGGCGGCTGATGACCATGCTTTCGGGCCTAGGCCTTCTCAGCCTTTACATGAGCGGCTGGACGCCATACTCCATCACTTCTGGGAGAACCTGGAGCAGCATCCTTCCCAACTACCCCCTACTCATGGCAGAGATGCAGAGAGGAGTGGGGCCACGTGGCGGAACGGATCCATCCCGGGCGAAGCGATACGCCAAGTACCCACTACCCGCACCACGAGCCCATCAAGGCCAAAAGTCATGAAGAAACCCCCTCCGAGGCATAGACCACAATGCTGGAAGGCCACATGTCGCTTGCTGCGGACGACCACCGGCCCTTCTGCAGCGCCTAAAAAGGGAGAGACCCGGCCTCTCTGAGTACCTGAGTCTGTGGCCCAAGGATGCCGACCTCCCGCCACCCACGACTCCTATCCACTCACCGGTACTCCCAGGTGCCCGCTCCCAGGATGCCCAGCAGAAGAATCGGCTGACACAGGAATTTGAGTCCTGAGCTCCTCACACCAAGCACGATGGACTAAAAGACAGAGACGTACCACTTAACTCCCTAAACTTAACCACTTAACCGTCCTAGGCTACAGTTATATGCCTGCGATTCTCACTATCCTTACTCTGATGATAATCACTACGTCTAATACACCTCATGTGTCTACCAGCTTAGTCTTAGTCATACATTTTAGACGTACATACCAAACCTGTATTTTCTAACTAAAAAAATGTGTGGTTTCTGCTTGTCATGACACTGTTTATTATGTACTATCTCATTCGCTTGTGCCTGCTGTCTTGGCAACACAGGCTTGTTTGAACATCTAAGCACTGCAAAAATAAAGATTATCAAAACAAAAAAATTTTATGCAATTAAAATGTAATTTATAACATAATCTTATTGACACAGATTGATTTCTAAACACATTTATTACAGTGTAAAGACACCTTACTGTGAATATTAATGCTGTGGAGCTCTGTTATACACTCAGACACACCATAAACTTAAAAAATATGGAGCTCCTAGAAAAGAGGGACACTAGGACTGAGGGATTTGGGCCAAATATAGGGACTGTCTCTTCTAAAAAGGAACACTTTGGAGGTATGTATTGATGACACTATTGTATATAAAACATCCCACAACTCCAGTGTGTCAGCTTTGGCGTAATCTTTATGTTTCCTGTGACTCTATTAATTTATTCTTAGATTTCCTGACTGCAGACTTAAGAAAGTGTCATTGATCTGTATTTAGTTTGAAGCTGCCTCAGCCACCCACTACGGCTTCCTTACAAGCATCCGCTGAAACCTCAGAGAAAATGGTTACTTAGCAGCATTAAGATGCCAGGTTCTGTGACCTGAAACATCTCATACAATAAGCGAGAATTCAGTAAGTTGACATTTTAAAAATGTACCTTAATTAAAAAAATGGAAGAAAAGATTTTCACTGAAAAGCAATTATTATAAATCGAACAGAACTGCATCCTTTTAGAACAATCCGTCTGTGGCACATTGCTTAGTACTGAATGTATATTAGATGAAAATCATGCTGTAAATATTTGTTATGACAAATTGCAGGGTGAGAATGGGATGCTTCTTTGCAATTCATGATTTTGCTCCCCCTACTGGCAGCTATTGAAAATGTAATAAAGGGTTTATCCACTAAACACCAAATGTAGTGAATTGAAAATCGAATAGCTAAATGTATGCATGAAGTGCTGATTGGGAAATTGCAGTTCCTTAATACATTGAGGATACCTAGCTGGAATCTCTATTCAATAACCGTTCAACTGAGGCAAAAATTTGTGTTCGACTCCCTGGGCTAGTTTTGTCTTGTCCGCATCATTTCTAGACTATGCGTAGAATTATACAAAATATGTGAACAAGTCAGTGTCCCCGGCCTAGGCAGCTAAATGTTTTTCTTATTGAGTGACACATACTTCCCTAATGCATTCCTCAGGCAGAGTGTGCTGACTCAAAGCCCTGTCTGTTCACATCAGACATACAGACATCAGATTTAGCACCCTTCCTGCCTGTTAGCAGGAGCACACCTCTCCCAGCTGTGCATCGGAGCATGGATTTGCATGAAGGGATTCTTGTGATACTGTAACCCTGACACGGAATCTGATCAGTGATTGCAACAGAAAATGCTATGTCTTCACTTTAATGAGCACTGTTCTGTTTTATGGCTCACTTTATTCACACTTTATCGATCAAGATAAAAAAGTATGTTTAAGCTTTTTAATGGAAACAGGAGCAAGACTATCAAGAAATATATAAATGGATGGTCCTAGACTATACGCAGCTATATCATCCCCCGCCCTCCATGTAGATCCCTTAAAGCGGCACTGTCATGCTGAACTTACCTTTACTGTCATGCTGAACTTACCTTTCCCCAATAGATTCCTCTTCTCTCCCTCTGTCAGGATCTGTTCTTAATTTCTTCCTGTCTGCTCTAGTTTTCTTTAAAATAATAAGACAAAGTGGGGACTATGTGTCTTATGGAGGTTTCCTACACCTGACCAACTATGACCAGAGGAGGAGTAAAGTGTCATTCATTTCCGGTGGTCAGAGCAATTTTCCCACAATTCTCAACTTTTCTCCGTGTTCCCGCGAAGCCTCCTTTCACACTTCCCGAACGTCCTGTCATTTTAGACAGAACTCCGGCGAAACTACCGAATTGAGTCCCAGGCGTAAGTGGAACAAACTCTTGAAAACGGCCTCATTAGGGCGAAACGTGCTGTTTTTTATACTTCATTAAGTAAGAGTTATTGTTTTGACTACATGTATATTTGGGTCAGTCTTTACACTTTTATTTTTTATATTTACCATTTACTTATACCTGGCATATTCTACCATCTGAAGTACCAGAGCCATCATCAAAAGAATCCTAGGTGGGGATTGTTCCACCTACGTATGGCACATAGAGCGGTTTGTCTGCTCTGAAAATTGTAAGTATATCTCCTATTACATTCTGCACTTACATATATAGAGAGCACTATGGGCCTTCTCTTCTTCTTTTATTACATATGACCTACACTGCAACTACCATCAGAGGGATATCCTACATGTGGGGAGTTTAAATACCACTGTACGTTGTTTTACCTGGAGTTGGTTATAGCTCTTTCAAACGTGAGTTGGCACTTTTTAACCTCAGTCTTGTCTGTAGCCAAATTTCTCTACGATATTGCACCATTGATCCCCTATGCTTTTGTTTTTTCATATGCTGCTGATGATTTGACCCATGACATCACATGAACACTTAAAGAAAATTGAAATCCATAGACTTTCATTGCTTGTTTTTGGTATCTTTTTGTATTTTTAAAATTTAGTTTTTTTATCTGTTCTATGTGGCGCACCCTGTATCCATTGCGGTCTCTCCAGTTTTCTTGAAAGGTTTGCGGGTTACCCTTCCCTTCAGGTGTGCAGCCTTCTCTCCTATTGTGATCAGTCTTGCAGTGCTGTTCCACCCCATCTCTCTTTTTTGCTACCAAGACTAATTTATCTCACTGAAGTAGTCTTGGTGCCATGTGTCCCTGCCTGTTTAACCCTCCAATGAAAAGACTGCAGTGTTTTCATTGCAGGGTTAACATGCTTCTATTGGCTGTCAACAATGAAGCCACTAGAATAGAGTTAAACTCGGTTATAGCTCAAATGACTTTCATTGAGAGCCTTTGATTGGCACAGCACCATTGAGAGCATTTGATGGGCACAGCACGGTGTATTGCCACGCATGGGCAATATTGAGGGAGGCACAGTGGCAGCGAGGAGAGCAGCACGCCACAGTGTGTAAGATAAGTACTTTTTAATCCCTGCAAGTGGGGGTGAACACGTAGATAGGTAGGGGGACACTATAATGTTAGGAAAACGTTTGTTTTCATAATGCTGTGGTGTTCCTTTAATGATATATTTTAGGGGCCCTAAAATTTTGTATGTGATTTAAGATGCATGATGATGCATCCAATCCCATGCAAAACCCCTCTACTCAACACTAGACAGACTGCTATCAACAGCAGTAGCAATAGCACATATTGATAAGGCACCAACATATGTAGCAGCGCTGTACAATGAGCAAACATGTTTAGACTGTTGGGACAAAGTTTAGAGGTAGGCCCTGGCATTTAGTGTTAACCAGTGTCTCACACAATACTGCAGGGGACCTAGAGGGATTGGAGTTAGTGTGTGACTTTCTCAGTAGGCCTACAGAAATACAGGAAACAAGGAAAAAGAACACTCGGCATTACAATGATTCAAACAAAGCAAATCGTGCACAATAAACAGGAGGGTCCATGTTTCAGCCCTAACTTGGACTGGATGTCTTTATTAAAAATTTTATTCAAACAAACTAGAACATGTACAATAAACAGAAAGTCACATTCATAGTTCTGTTTACTGTGTGTGCTCTGCTTTGTGTGGATATAAACTAGTTTGATGAATGAGTCTATCACACACAACACTGAGGAATACCGAAAGAGCAGTATTTAAAGCGAATAGTTTGAAAATCCAGTGATGTGATTCTTGTAGACAGGATAGAAGAGGGTAAAGAAAGATGGAATGAGTAGGGGAAGGTGTAAAGAATAAATGGAATTAGGATGGCTCGGGAGAGAATGAATATAAAGGGTAGAAGGTATGATGATGAGGAACACAATAAGATGGGAAGTAGGGAGAGGCTGTATAAAAGGGAGAGTGAATTAAAAGGGAAGAGATATATGAAATTAAGAAAAGAGGCAGATATTCAATAAGGAGGGGAAGGAGAACATATTGAATAGGCTGGGAGTGGTTTGGAATTAGGAGACAAAAGATGTGAGGGAGATAGGATGAGGAAGGGGGAGCATGTTAATTATAGAGACAGATGAAGGAGGTGAGAGAAGACTGGATGAGGACAGAGGGATGAAGGTTTGGGGAGGGCGAGGCTGAATAAGAAGGGAAGAAAGCATATGGAATGAGCATGGTAGAAGGGAGATAAATAAGGGCCCAATTTGAATGGGGATTGGATAAGCAGATGGAATAGGGAAGAAGAGAAATAATTAGAGATGCATGGCTCCCAATCATCCTGATTTCGGCAGGGCAGTTACGATTTTCGAGTCCTGTCCCACCGTCCCTCCTTAGTTTCCTGCTGTTTCACTTTTAAAGACACCAGGTAACTGTCCCCAACTCTCATATAGCGAGAACATCATTAGACGCGCTCGTTCTATGATCAGGGCACTAGAACCCTGCATGGGGCACTGAAACAGCACTGCCTGCAAGCCCTGCCTACAAGCCCTGCCGGCCTGAGTGATGGACAGACAGCTTGGCTTGTATTCACACCAAGCTGAGTCGATCCACCCATTTGGATGTGGAGCTAGTAACACAATCACATCAATGACCCGCCCTTTTACCTCCCTTCCATCAGCGATTCTCAGGACACCGGAGTTAGGAGGAATGGAGATGAGGGGGCTATCGATGAGGAGAAACATTGATAGGGAAGAAATTTGATCAGTTAATGGAAGTAACGTGTTAATACAGCCTTTAAACGAAGACTTTAAGAGCTATAACTACTAAAGTGCCCCTCCCTGTCTCTGCTACAGCCTTTAGAGAGCCAGAAATTTTAGCTTATGAGCTTCCATTGGCTCTCCTGAGCTATGCCCTGCAGTGCAAATCGGCTGAGAGTGTTAACTGATGATCACTCTCAGCCAGTTAGCTATGCCCTCCAATACAAAAAGAATCTCCAAGTCTTACTACTAATAATAAAAATGATAGATGATGACTTAGTGTTATTAGATTATATATTGATCCCAGTTCCCCAGCATATGAAAAAAAAAACATCCCTATACACTAAAGAAGTTGAGCAGCATAAATATATACAATAGTTCCGGCTCGAGAATGTTAAACATACTACTCTATAGGTTTGGGGTTTTTTTAAGTATGGTGTCAGGATTTGCAAAACCAATAATGGAAAAATTATCCAGTTTTGCTTTTGCAGTTTGCAATTACATTTTCCATTATCTGTATAAATAATCCCCAAGTCTAGGTGAGTCTGGCATAGTGCTAGAACTTTTCTAATTATACCAATAAGGCGCATTTCGTCAAGCTGTATACTGAAATTATCACACACAGATTTCATTTTCATTTTGTTTAAAAATTATAGCACGCTACACAATGCACTCAGATCTGCAAATCAAATCAAGATGTCCGCTTCTCAGAGGCAATATGCAGACAGAGAGAAGGACCAGGCCAGCTGATACACTAGGTGGAGAGCGTAAATTATGGTATTGTTTAGGGAAGAACATGTAGTGAGTAGAATTCGTGGAATTATTTGTATCATTAGGGAGTTCACCACTTGGACACATAAAGGGCAGGAAAGCCTTAAGGATTATTCTAATTATTTTTTTTTAAAAAATGTTTTGGATGCAAAAAAAATCCAGCAAGGATTATCAACAGGAAAAAAAAAAAATCTATCTGGATCCAATGTTCCCTTTCATGTGTGGCGTAGTTTCCTGCTTCACAGTTAGTGCCAGAAGAATATGACCCACATTTTAAATTAGAGTCAGATTATGAAATGAATGTTGTCCAGGAATGCACATTTTTAGGATTCACTTAGACGTAAATCTGTTTCACATTCAAAATTTTCAAAGTATGAACAATGTTACACGTATTTAATGTGTGAGCAAATGGCAAACCAAGCAAAAAATATTTTAGCTCGCACTCAGATTACACACCACAACCAAGTAGTTGACAGCCCTGTACAACATAAACTATTATTGGTTTTAGAATGTCCGGGGAACACTAAAATAATCTAAGCAGGGTGGAAATGCTGCATTAAGGTCTAGATGCCTTTCTGCAGACTCATTTTGACACATATACATAAAGCTGCAAGTTAAGATTTTCTTTAAACTTGTGCAGCCCTGAAACAGTCACCCTCTCCCCCCCCCCGTACTCTTACAACAATTAAAGGGACACTCCAGGCACCCAGACCACTTCTGCCCATTGGAGTGATCTGGGTGCCAACTCCCACCACCCTTAACCCTGTAAGTGTAATTATTGCAGTTTTTATTTATAAACTGCAATAATTACCTTGCAGGGTTAAGTCCTCTTCTAGTGGCTGTCTATCAGACAGCCGCTAGAGGGACTTCCGGGTTCTTAGAGTACAAAAAATGTTTTAAACGACGCTGGACATCCTTACGCCATGCATGAGGACCTCCAGCGTCGCCGGAATCCCCTAAATAATGCTTTCCTATGGGAAGGTCTAATGCGCGTGTGGCCCATTTCCACGCATGCGCATTAGGTCTCCCCCACCGGCTGATGTCGGCGAGGGAGGAGTGTGGGTGGAGCCTGACCCAGCGCTGAGGGACATCGGCACTGGATTCAGGTAAGTCACTGAAGGGGTTTACAGGGACTCTTCAATGCCAGGAAAACATATCAGTTTACCTGGAACTGCAGGACTCTGCAGTGCCCCCCTCCCTCATCCCATGTTGCTAAAGGGGTCAAACCCCTTCAGTGACTTACCTGAATCCAGCCCCATGGGCTTTCAATTAGACAACAGGTCCTGTTACTTCCTTGTTTGATTACCTCTGTAGAGCTAAACTCGAGGCAGCAATTGCCCTGAGCGCCTGCCTTGCAAAGACTTTTTACTGAGCTGCATTGGAATGTATGTGATAGGACAGCCACAGAGAGTCTGGGTGGGGTTAGAAGGGGAGGGTTTGCCAAGGCTTCAGATAAGAGAACTGCAGGTTTTGCAAGCTGTTTTTAGATTTACCCCCAATGAAAAATGCATATATAAATGCATGCAAGCTTTCACTGAGGGTATATCTACTAAGCAGTGCTGTTTTTATATTGGTATACTTATAGACTAAATGATATAGGGTGAATTACTAAAGAGAAAATGGTAAGGAATTCAAAGTAAATTCAAATTTAAGGCCAAAGTAGCCAAACCCGACTTGAAGAATGTTTCCAGTTTAGCTATTTTGTTCTTAGATTTTAAATTCACTTCAAATTCACTGTAAATCCCTGAGAATTAAAGATTATGCTAGCTTTAGTGTACTAATAATCTTAATTTTAATAATGACAGGAGGTGAGTATTTTACTGGGCGCCAAGATAGTCGGAACCCTTGCGTGTCTAATAAGTTGCCTTCGGAACTTTGTGCCTTGTGCCTGGGGTTCCGACTATCTTGGCGCCCAGTAAAATACGAAGCCTCCTGTCATGTGGTAAAATTCTCATCTTAGTAAATAACCCTGATTGTGTGAGTGTCTTTGTGTATCTGTGAGCATTTATAACCACTATTCAACTATTTTGGTCTTACATTTGGAATTCATTTTAAATTCCTGACAATTCTCACTCTAAATAACCCTAAAAGACAGCAACCTAATATTGTACTGAATGGAATGAGACTAATGATATTGAAAGGAAATATGAAAGAAAAGAATTAGCAAACAGGACAATAAAAGGATACATAAATAATTAGGAAAACCTGCGAGCTATCCGGAATCATTTGGAAAGTAAATTTAGGAAAAGAAAGGGAAGGATATACTAGAATGTAAAGAGAGATTAAAAAGTAAATTAATAATATCAAAGTAGTTAACTTAAATCATGTAGTGTATGTTTCCAGTATGCAGACATCTGTATGTTTGTCTGTGTGTCTGTATGTGTATGTATGTCTGTGTGTATGTCTGTGTCTGTATGTCTGTGTCTGTCTGTCTGTATGTGTGTGTATGTCTGTCTGTGTGTGTGTGTGTATGTCTTACTGTGTGTATGTGTGTGTATGTCTGTATGTATGTGTGTGTGTGTCTGTATGTCTGTGTGTGTATGTATGTGTGTATGTTTGTCTGTGTGTCTGTATGTATGTGTGTCTGTGTATATGTCTGTGGGTCTGTATGTATGTATGTGTGTCTACATGTGTATCTGTTTGCATGTGTGGGGGGAGGGGATAACGTATGGGAGGAGGGAGGAGGTGGCAGGGGTTTATGTACAGGTGTGGGGGGGGGGGGCAGCAGGGCAATTTTTGCATCGGGGCCCCGTGGTTTCTAGTTATGCCTCTGGATGCATGAAAGACACGGAATGGAGGAACAGAGTGACTGAGGCAGACATGTTTTAAAGTGTTCCCTTATCATCCCAGCATAACCTTCCATGCCACAGGACAGAGGGTGGAGGAAGAGTATGGGTAGTTCTATGAATTGCCATTTACTGCACTTCACATGTGGTGGAGAAAGGCATGAGGGCCACCTCTACCTCCAGTAAGCAGAGAATACAGAGTAGTTATTCCAAATCCCTTGACCTGTATTAGGTGTTTATGCTGTTGAACTAAAAAAAGGCATAAAACACAGTTGTAGCCATTTCCTATTATGCCACAAAAAGGGGAAACAAATCTTCTTGACTCCATATTGCCAATCAGATTTCTCATTGGATCAACAACCTGTTAGCATTGATCCAGGACCAAGTGCCCATGGACTCCAAACACCTTAACTACTTCAGTTACTTGAAGTGGTTATGGTGTATAGACCGATTACAGTTAATGCTGTAAATCTCACTAATACCTTAGCTTGTTTCCTTTTTTCTTTATCAAGTTATGGATGGATTATGACAAATATAATGCTTCTCCATTTGCGACCATCACTTGCCACTTCTGCCAAATTTTTTTCTTGGCGTTGTGTTACCACAGCTTATACACTAGGAAACAAACTAAGCTGGAAGTGGTGAGGTATGCACAAAAGTCTCAGATTTTTTCTCTAACTTATGAGCGTTACATTAATTTCTACACCAACTAGTAACTTGTGCCCCCTCTAGTCAGTGATCCAGCCAGCTCATTGAATATATTTTTGGCCCAATTTTTTTCCCACCATGTAAAAACTAACCCTCATTACATACACATGGCATGTAAGGTGATATATAAAGTATCCATTACTCAGTGTATATTTCACTAATCAATGGTATGTTTCAGCTGCAAGGTCTTGCCTTTTTCCAAGTTTAGAATTAAGCAACAGTTCTTATGCAATGGTCCTTGATTAGTTAACATCTAACCTTTGATTTAACAAGATGAGTGGGAGAATAGTACAGTGTTCTCGTGACAAAACGCCAGGGCTTTATAACCAATTATTAGAAATAAGCCTGATGTATCTTTTCACTTAGCTTTCTTTAATTTTTTTTTTTTTTTTTTATCGTATAACAAATGCTTTGGATATTTCCATCTGCTGACATTCGAAGAGATATCATTCAGCCAAGGCCAAAACAGCATTATATGCAACTGCTCTTGAAGTATAAGCCTTGATCTGTGTATAGTAAAACAGACATGAATTTCCTATAATGCCAACTAGGCCTTGGACTACAGCAGAAGGGTAAAGTGGACGGAAAGCGATGTTACATTATTTTAATAGTATATATAAGTTTAGCTTTTTTTTTTTTGTGATTATATTTTTATTTGACTTTTTCAAAGTTTTCATAAAGTGAGAGCTTTTTTGTCTTTTAACTCATCTGTTAGCAGCCAAACAACCAAGCAGTAAATGTATTGAGCAATGGATAAACAAACCTTGCTTCTTGCATATCTCCCTTAACTTCACATGAAGAACACGCATGAAGTAATTTGCACTGGTAAATACACATGCCAACCCACATAACACATACATATGCAGTCACGCACAAGTGTGTTACATATTTTGAGCACAAAGATTTATTACACATAAAAATTCAATACATACACACACAATCAGATAAAAAAAAATAGTGACACACATAAATGAAGGCGTCCTCACCTGGTGACAAACGATCCAGCTAAAAAGGACCAGGCAATGACAACAGCCAGATGAATCCAATTCAAAGAGGGGTGATTTTTTTAGGGTCTGAATCCAAATAGAATCCATCTCAACTTAGTCTGTACTAAGCCAGCTGAATATTTTTAATGTTGGTAAAACTCACTCATTAACACCCTGCACCTTAGACCATACACAGCTCAACAAAGATATTTAAATTCTATCAGCATTGGAAGAAAAGACGTCCCACACATCACATATGCGCTAAAAAAAAAAGACTTAAAACATATGTAGAACTCCGCTCCTCTCTTCTTATATGCTCTCTCTCACTTTCTTGCAATCTGTCCTTTCCTTTGTGAGAGCCTCTACAGAATTTTCCACCCTCCTTGCACTGTGAATATGTGTTATCTGTATGTATATTCCTTCATGTGTTAGTGTGTACATGTGTTATCTGTTTGTGTATGTGTCAGTTTGTGTGTTTATGGGTGTGTGACAAGATGCGTACATGCCAGTGTGTGTGTCAGTGTGTATGTGCAGGACAGTGTGCATGAATTTTGTCCTAACACGATTGGACAAACTGTACTCACTCTGTTAGGACGAAATTCGGTAGTTTTCCCAGCGAATGGCTGTTCAAACAGCGAATGAAGCAGCACAAGATCACAGAGGAAAGGCTGGGTATTGTGAGAAATTTCTTTGACTACAGGAAATAGAGTGGACTTAAGGTCTTCCTTGGGTCAAAGGTGGTCAAGCGAAGGAAAAATACATAATACAAAGTAGTCCCTACTTTGTCTTATCGTTTAAAGAAAAATAGATCAGAAAGGAAGAAATGAGGAACAGATCCTGAGAGAGGAAGAGAAGAGGAAGCATTGGGGAAAGGTAAGTTCAGCATGATAGTGCCGCTTTAAGAATTTGACAATGTGTAATTATTCATTCTCTTAACATACATGTAGTTGAATTGTATGTATTGCTTAATGTGTATTTGTGCACTGCACTTTACTATGCCTCCTTGACAGTCTCAGCCAATCCTATGTGATAGCTTTGTAATTGGCTCAGAACACAACTTGTGATGATATCAGCCAAGCAGGCAGATCAGGGGCAGAGCCAGCAGCAGCAGACTGAACTAAAGGTAATATTTTATGGATAAGGGGGGAGCCAGGCAGGCTAGATTGTGGTTTTAACACTATAGGATCAGGAACAAATGTTTGTCTTCCTGACCCTATAGTGCTCCTTTAAAGCTGTAGGCGTGTTCATTATAGGGTAGGAATTATGGATAGTCTGCTACCCAAGTATATTGAAATAAGAGATCCGAGTGAACAGAGCATTTGACCCACTAATTGCATCCAAGCTTCTGTTGCAGGTGGCATGTTGGTATATCCTACTGCCTGTTATTTGTTATTACAATTTATTCTGCACATTTAACAATTCTAGTTTTAGCCAATGGACGGACCATTGTAGTTCAGCTTTTGGGTAGGTGTAGGGAGGGGCTGTGAATTACTGTAATTACTTACATGTAATTACTTAGAAAGCATTTAGAACTGCAGTAACCAAAAATTTGTAGCTATGTAAATGTTTTTGAAAAGCCATGGACACAGTATATGTTGGCGCTTTACATCATGTAAATGAATTAGGTTAAAACGAGCACATATTAATTACTAATGCAGTAATTCTAACTACATGTGTGTGTTTTTTGTACTGACATCGTTTAAAGGTGGGAACGAGTATGGGGTCACATCGGGTTGGCCAGTTTATATTCAAATGAGATGTTGCATAAATCCATGGTGTTAAACATTTATTAATATCTTATGTTTGAAATAATGTTAGTACTTGTAGCCTATCCCAGGAAAAAAATACAATGAATTAAAATATCTCTTGTCCCTAATTTTCTCAGATTATTGGAGCCATTCTTGCCTCGATGTCTGTGGGTCAAACATGTCCAAATCAACACTAGCACAGCATGTCTGCACTTATCCTTTTGATCAAGATTCGGAAATAGTTCAATCATTCTGACCAAGCAATGTTCCCATGTCAGAGGGAAATATATTTTTGTTCCCGTCCTGAAATGCACTGACTTTTGAGCACTCAACGTCATTTGATCAAATTGTATTACATGCATAAAATAATTGTATGAGTCCATTTGTATGAGTCAGCTGCCATAGGGGTTGGTTAAGGAATGTGACCTGTCATTTTCCGATGTGAACCTTCATTTGGTTTAAGTGCTGCCTCAGCAGGTTTTTCTCATACAGACATGTTGGCTGCCAGTGTTGCACTGCACAAATATGTTGCATCACAGGTACATTGACCTACGTGGGCTTTTGTGCATCTAAAACTACTTTAATGTCCTCAGTTTGCCCATTAAGTTTGAACTTTTTAAAGAAGTTGAGTTTTCCTGAAACCCTTATTTTCCATAAGTCTCAACATGCAGCATGGGATCCTTCTATGTTTTAGCAGCACTGATACCTGGCTTGCACGAGATTGATGGGAGTCTCACTCATGATTGTTAGACTATAAGATAGATAGACAGACAGACAGACAGATAGATATAAAATAACAGATGAAGTTAGTATCCTACCTTTTTTATCTTTTTTTAATGGACTAACAACATTTTGGAATGACAAGCTTCCGGGAGAACATACCTTATCTAGGTCTAAAGCATTTCTGACCAAAAATCAACACATTGAATTCAAAGTTGAGTTGTGATATTGAGTTTAAAGAGACATGAGTACAGGTCTGACAGAAAATAGGCACCATTCTCATTGATAATCATAAATATTTGGTGTAAGGGTCACAGTGTGAGGGGGGAGAGATAGATAGATAAAAAAAAAAAAATGCAGGAGATGGTACTAGAAGAGTTTTTTTTTTTTTTTAAATGATACAAATTAAGAATGCATGTACTCACATCCAACATCCAAGAATCCTGAATATGCATGAAGGAATATACATGACCTACACATACATATGCATCTAATTTAAGGCGCAGCCTGGAGTTGTGGGAGGGACTTTTGACCCTTTTTAAATGACTCCATTTCATTCCCCTATTGGGGAATATGTGGTCAGCAGTTTACATGGGACAAAGAAAGTACACTCTCTTTGTATTCTATAGTATTACATACAGTGGCGTACTAAGGGGGGCCAGGGGGGGCGGTCTGCCCCGGGTGCCACTCACTAGGGGGGTGCCTGGGGCAGACTGCAATGCCCCTCCTGCACCGATCGCCAAGACCGGCAGTCTGCAGCTCCGCAGTGTTCAGAGCTGCAGACCATGTGTCTCGCGAGCATTGCCCAATCAGAGCGTTGCTGCGGGTTACCACAGCCACGCTGTGATTGAGTCTTGCGAGATCCATGGTCTGCAGTGGAAATGATGGCCACCGGACCACCAGGGACCCCACCGGACAACCAGGCAGCCCCCACTGGACCACGAGGGATTTAAGGTCATTTTTAAGTCCCCCCTGCATCACCCCCCCTCTCACAATCACCCCCCCTCCACATCACCCCCCTCTCCTCATCAACCCCCTCCCTCTCACAATCACCTCTCTGCTTGACCCCTCCTCATCCTCACCCCTCCCTGAGCTCCCTCTCACTTCACCCCCACACCATCACCCACCCCCCTGTCACAATCACCCACCCTCCCTCTCCTCATCACCCCTCCCTCTCACAATCACTCCCCTCTCACAATCACCAACCCCCCCACCATCACCACCCCCCTCCCTCCAATCACCCCCCTCCTGATCTCCATCACTTCACCCCCCCACCATCACCCCTTCCCTCACACCATTATCCACTATACAAGCACACACACTGCATTCACTATACAAACACACACAGACACACACTTATACATGTGTGTTGGTATATGTGTATCTGTATGTGTCAGTGTGTGTCTCTGTATCTGTTTGTGTGTCTGTGTTTGTATCAATGTGTCTGTATGTGTGTGTCTCAATCTGTATGTGTGTCTGTGCCTGTGTGTCTCTCTCTGTGTCTATCTGTGTGTATCTGTGTCTATCTGTATGTGCCAGTGTTTGTCTGTGTATGACTGTTTCTATGTAACTGCATGTGTGTACCTATGTCTGTGTATGTGTGCCAGTGTGTGTATATGTATGTATGTATATGTGCATACATCTCAGCATTTCGCCTACACTACACACAAATACAACCCTGCATCCAAATGTCAACCCTACATAAAAACACACCACCATATTCAAAAACCACACTACAGAAAAATGCACTCCTGCATTCAAATGCCAATACGTGCAAACCCACCCGTACATTCACTCACACATACTCCATACAAAAACATGCTTACATTCAAACACACAAACAGTGCTTGGTGCTAAATACATAAAAATAAAAACACGGCTCAGTGCTAAAGACACTTTTTTAAGGGGAGGATGGGGGTGCCAAATAAAGGATGCGCCCTGGGTGCCAAATGCTCCAGGTACGCCCCTGATTACATATCAGGACATAATAACAATAATCTGTTCCTTATTCATATTAATGTTTGGCGCAGTCTATATATATATATATATGTATATATCTTTATCTACAGTCATTGGAAAAATAAAGTACACACTTTTTGAATTCTATGGTATTACATATCAGGACATAATAACAATCATCTGTTCCTTAGCAGATCTTAAACTTAGGCAAACACAACCTCAGATGAACAACACAATTTGACATTACACTGTGTCATGATTTATTTAAAAGGACACTATAGTCACCAGAATAACTACAGCCTAATGTAGTTGTTCTGGTGTCTATATCATATCCCTGCAGGCTTTTTAATGTAAACACTGCCTGTTCAGAGATGTCTATATATATATATATATATATAGTATATGTATAATAATGAAATACATGTAATTAGAGTGCATCTTAACATGTGGATACATATAACAGAAGAGTAAGGTAATGATGGGGAAAGGGGGTCATGTAAAACTTTGGTAGGGGGACAGGAAACCCAAATCAACATTTAGTCCTCTATTATTGCTGTTACAAAGATGTGATCATTCTGACTTCAACAGTAGTGGGAGGGATGTCCAGCGTCTCTGTGTGCTATGTCTGTTTGTATGTCCTAGACGTGGGTCAGTTTATACGTGTATGTTAGAGTATGTGTTATATTCCACAGGAACCGGAAGAGCAGACAATCTCTGGCATTCCAGTTTTTGTGGAACAAAATCTGTGGAATTACCAGAGGTGTAGTGAGTGAGTGACTTATGGAAAATACCAATATTACTCCATCAACTATTCACCTCTGTTGTTGTATGAGTTAGGGAGAGTCCTGGAAGAGAAGGCAATGCTTCTAGTTAGTGTAAGATTAGTATTAGTAATTCAAATAAGGAATTAGGGTTTATTGTTAGAGTCAGGAACAGTAAATATCGAATGCAATACGTACAATGGGTTAGAGTAAACCTGATGCTCTGAGCTATAGAAGTATATGAATTACTCCCGGATGTTGAACGGTAATGATTTTCTAACCAATACCAACTTCTCCTATCCTTGTGACTTATTCTCTCATTTAGACTTTCTATCAAAATTGTATTCTAGTAAAAGCACCAGATTGTATAAAGAGCTAAAGGGACGTATTTACAAAAGTTTGAACAGAAGACATATCCACCAGCAGTGAGGGTTTGGAGATCTAGTGTTGTTGACTAGATACGTTGTGATGTTCTTTTATTTAACATTAAAACATAAGTTGAGTGGATGCAAACTGGTGAAAATGTCAGTGTTATGTAGACGGTTCTTCACATGGTAGATCTTCTCATGAATCCAGAGACATGATTTATCTAGTTTTGCAGTAAAAGCAGGGCTGGCGCAACCATAAGGCAGTCCAGGCGGCCGGCGCTACCACAGTTGGCTGCCTTAGGGCACACCGGCCCGGGAGGCGCCGGATTCTGGTGAGCAGCAGAAGAAAAGCGCAGCACTGCATTCCCCTCCTGCCAGACTCTGTATATAGCATGGCCGAGCGGGCTGGGGGATTGAGAAACATGGGGGGACAAGGAAAATGAGACACATGAGGGGGTGAGGGAATAAGACACATGAGGCTGGGGGAATGAGTCACATGAAGGGACTGGGTTGAGGAAATGAGCACATGGGGGAATGAGACATGTTGAGGGGCTGTGGGAGGAATTGAGACACATGGCGGGCTGGGGGGAAAAAAGACATGGGGAAGATGAGATACATGGAGGGGCTGGGGGAAAAGGAGACATGGGGAGATGAGATACATGGAGGGGCTGGGGGAAAGGATACACGGGGGAGATGAGATACATGGAGGGGCTCGGGGTAAACAAAGCAACATAGAGGGGCAGGGGGAGAAAGAGACAAGGTGCTGGGGGAAGAAACACACAAATTGGGCTGTGGAGAGAAAGAGACTCAAAGAGGAGCTTGGGGAAGAGGGATAAGAAACAGATAGAGGCAAGGGAAAGGGCAAAAGAGACAGACAGTGGCTTGAGGAGACACCCAGTGGGGCTGAGGGAGAAAGGAACACACAGAGGGGTTGGGAAGGGGATAAAGAGACACACAAAGGGACTGGAGGACAAAAAAGACACACAAAAGAACTGGAAGAAGAAAGAGACATACAAAGGAGCTAAAGGGAAGTAAGCAACACACAAAGGATGGGGTGTAAGAGGCACAAATTGAAAAATTGGGGGATAAGATATACTAAAGGGGAGTAAAGGACAAAAACAAGAGAATGAGAAATATAAAACGGGTAAAAAAATACAAGATGGGGGATTAAGGGACATACAGGTGAAGATGTATTTTTGGGGGGAGGGGAGGCATCTTCACCTGTGTAGCCAAAAATCCTTACACCGGCCCTGAGTAATAGAATCTTTGTAGAATAATAAAGTATGTTAAAAGACTCACATAGCAGAAGAGAAAGGGAGCAGCACCCAGTGGACCCTGTACGGTAAGAAGTCAATACGTTAGCTAATAGTTTGACTACTTACATTGGGGGAGCATCTGGGCACTCCAAGCAAAGCT